AGGGCTGGATAAGGTATTTTCCCTGCCCTTGAGGCTCACAGTCTTGTGGCAATCTCTCGTCATTTTAACAAGTATCTTAAGGAGCTGTTTGACATTTGTTCACAGACCTTGTCTTTATATTACCCAGTGCAAGCCCTTTTGTCCAACTGGGGAAGGAACTGCAACATTCTCTTTCATCAATTCTATTATCATATTTTCTTACCTATAATTTTTGATTCATTAAGACTTTTTAATCACTTTAGGAAATATTTATTATTATTAGCCTCTGGGGAAGTAAAAGTGCTTTCAGGAAATGTAACTTCTGGATGGTTTGGAACTTATGGTATTTAGAATTCAAGTGCAATTCTATAAATTTTTTACTGACAGATGCAGAGTAGAGTTGTATTATTGGTTTAGACTCTAAGTCAAGTCAGTATGGAAGGAGAGCCTTGTGGTGCTTCATTTGAGTTGTTTATAATTTTGGCTGTTATAAACAATACTGTTATAAACATTCATGTGCAAGTATTGGTGTGGATGTATGTTTTCACTTCTCTTGGGTATATACCTAGGAGTGGAATTGCTGGGTCATTTTTTTGTGTGTGAGGAAGATCAGCCCTGAGCTAACATCCGTGCCAATCCTCCTCTTTTTGCTGAGGAAGACCGGCCCTGAGCTAGCATCTATTGCCAATCCTCCTCCTTTTTGTCCCCCAAAGCCCCAGTAGATAGTTGTATGTCATAGTTGCACATCCTTCTAGTTGCTGTATGTGGGACACCGCCTCAGCATGGCCAGACAAGCGGTGTGTCGGTGCGTGCCCGGGATCTGAACCCGGGCCACCAGTAGCGGAGCACGTGCACTTAACTGCTAAGCCACGGGGCCAGCCCCGCTGGGTCATTCTTGTGTTTAACTGCTGTGCTGTTCATGAGCTTCATTGCCTACCAGATGACATTTCCAGCTCAGCCCTGCGTTTAACAGTCTCCCCATGATGGTTCTAACTTAACCTACGTCTCCATAACATCTTTGCGGATTCCCTACCCATAGCCTAAGCTCCAGACAAGCCCAATTGCCCGATCTTCCTAAAGTGCGTCTTGCATTTTCTCATTTTTGTGGCTTTTTGGGATCCTACTTGCTGCTTAGAGTTTATTGGAAATACTCCCTCTGTAATCGGGTTTTTCCTGACCATTCCTCGCCTCCCACATTGAATTTTTGCTCTCCCCACTCAGGCTTCTATTCCACTTTGTTAAGTGGCTCTCAGATTCTTTGCCCTGTATCACCATTATTCATGTCTTTTGTCTTATAGGCCTGTATGTCCAATATGATAGCCCATCACCTACATGTGACTGTTTGATTAAAATTAAAGTTAAACTAAAGTGTAGTTCCTTGGTTGTGCTAGCCCCGTTTCAAGTGTTCATAGCCATTAGTGACTACTGTAGGTGGACAGAGCAGACGTACATTTCCATTTTCACCAAAGTTCTATTGGACAGCACTTTTCTACATTGAAAACTCAGAACAGTGACCGTGACTTGCTTTTTTGTTTTTTTCTGTGATCTTTGCATAGTGTTTGCTTATCTTGATTTCAATTAAGAAAATAAAATTAAATCTTGGCACAGAATAGAGAAATAGACTTTTAGGAAGTATTCACTTCTCAAGAGATGATAGTTGAACTAGAGAAGTAGATGAAGTATCTGAGGGCCTCTGCAATTCTTATGTTGTAGTTCTGCCAAGAATGGGTTGAAAGTACAGAGTAATAGGGATTGGCAGTTGCCAATTTGTTTATTCTTAAACTGTGGGGTAAAATACACAATTGATTCTCCTGCTTACTTGCCATGCCTTTCTATCCTTGTGTTCTCTCTAGTTTGTTTTGTAGACTTGCGCTGTCCAGTGTGGTAGCCCCTAGCCACATGTGACTGTTTAAACTTAAATTGAAGTTAAATAAAACTAAAAAATCAGATCCTGCACTAGTGGCATTTTTCATGTGTTCAATTGTTAATTTTTAGCTAATGGCTGCAGTATTGGATGGCCCAAATGGAGAAGAGCATCATCGTAGCAGCAAGTGTTGGACAGCACTGATCTAGACTGCTCTTAGCTGTAGTTGAGGATGTCATGGCAAATTTGGCATCTGCCTTTTGATTTAGAAGTTTAAACAAATAAGACAATTATTCAGGTAATGAATGTCCCTATTACTGATGTCTCCAGTTTATCCTAATTTAGACTAGAACTTGTTACAAAGGCTAAAGATGTGACCAACTATATTTTTTTGTGTACTGAACTCCTTGGTTGTAAATATTCTAAATGAGTCAGATGAGCTGAAAATTTGAAGTTCATTTTTTTTTCAATTGTTTTATTGAAGTCATTATGGTTATAATATTGTGTAGTTTCAGATGTACATTATTATTTATAAGTTTCTATATAGACTGCATCATGCTCACCACCAGTAGTCTAAAATTTTTGGTGTGTGCAGAAGATTAGCCCTGAGCTAACATCTGTGCCAGTCTTCCTCTAGTTTGTATATGGGATGCTGCCACACCATGGCTTGATGAGTGGTGTATAGGTCTGCACCCGGGATACTAACCTGAGAATCCTAGGCCACCAAAGCAGAGCATGCGAACTTAACCACTATGCAACTGGGCTGGCCCCCAAATAGTCTAATTTTTATTCATCACATATGTATGTGCCCCTTTACCCCTTTTGCCTACCATGCAACCCCCTTCCGTTCTGGTAACCACTAATCTATTCTCTTTATCCATGTGTTTGTTTATCTTCCACATATGAGTGAAATCATGAGGTTGGGATGATTTTATCTTTTTTATGGCTGAGTAGTACTCCATTGTGTGTGTGTGTATGTGTGTATATATATACATATATATATATACACACACACACTACATCTTCTTTATCCATTCATCAGTCGATGGGCACTTGGGTTGCTTCCACGTCTTGGCTATAGTGAATAATGCTGCAGTGAACATAGGGGTGCATGAGTCTCTTTGAATTGTTGATTTCGAGTTCTTTGGATAAATACCCAGTAGTGGGATAGCTGGCTTATAGGGTATTTCTATTTTTAATTTTTTGAGAAATCTCTATACTGTTTTCCATAGAGGCTGCACCAGTTTGCATTCCCACCAGCAGTGTATGAGGGTTCCCTTTTCTCCACATCCTCTCCAACATTTGTTGTATTTTGTCTTGGTGATTATAGCCGTTCAAACAGGTGTAAGGTGATAGCTCATTGTAGTTTTGATTTGTATTTCCTTACTAATTAATGATGTTGAACATCTTTTCACGTGCCTGTTGGCCATCTGTATATTGAAGTGGTTCATTTTTGTATTTTTGTCTTCGTAATGGAATTTTACCTAGAGTGTTTTGAAGTGCATGTGTTTTGTAGAAAGTTAGTAGCTAGTTGCACCTGTTTTGTGCCAGACATTGTTATTGGTGCTGGGGGTACTGCAGTCAATAGGACCAAGTCCCTGATCCCTGCCTGCATGGGGCTACATTCTAGTTGGAGATGTGGTGGGGAAGGCAGACACTAAGCAAGTAAATACATGTACACTGTATGTATTTTTATTTTTTAAATATTTATTTTTCATTTTTTAGTGCAGTTTTAGGTTCTCAGCAAAATTTAGCAGAAAGTGCAGAGAGTTCCCATATACCTGTTGCTCCCCTTTATGCTATTTTTGTTTTTAAATTTAAGGTTGCCTTAATCCTTACTATTACTCACGTAAGTCAGTGAGTGACTTACTAGACGAGGAATACTGAGCTGTCTTAGTGAAGCTCACACTTTAATAAGAGTACACTGGGTTGGGGCCGGCCTGGTGGCGCAAGCGGTTAAGTGCACACGCTCCACCGCGGCGACCCGGGGTTCGCCAGTTCGGATCCCGGCGCACTGACGCACTGTTTGGCAAGTCATGCTGTGGCGGCGTCCCATATAAAGTGGAGGAAGATGGGCATGGATGTTAGCCCAGGGCCAGTCTTCCTCAGCAAAAAAAGAGGAGGTTTGGCAGATGTTAGCACAGGGCTGATCCCCCCCCCCAAAAAAAAAAAGTACATTGGGTGATAAAATTCAGAGGAGCTTGCTGGAGGTGCTAATGAGAATCTTATTTCTATTGGGGAAGGGGTAAACGTGGTTGTAGCCTTGCGATTTCTTGAACTTTTCAGGAAAAAAAGATTATGAATGATAGGACATCGAATGGGTTAATAGAATTGCTGGGCTGTAGTTAATTTGTCTTTTTTAGAAAATATATGTATATTTAACAGAAGTTGTTTAAGAAATAGAGAAAAGTGCAAAAAGAACACTAACCCCACCCCATCTGGAGACCGTCACTGTTTGCATTTTATATCCTCCCAGACAGTCGTCTGTGTGTGCTGGAGGTGCACATGCCTGTGTGTGCAGGGGCAAATTTGGGAGCATGCTGCATAATGCAATAGTGTACCCTTCTTTTTTTCACTTAACATTATATAACTCTTATGTTTTTAAACACTTGTTAAAACACAACTGCATGATATTTCCTACTCTGGATAGATCTGGTTTACTTAACTATTTTTCATTATTATAAGGACATCTATTTAGATTATCTACAGATTTTTTTCTCACTTTTTTTTTTTTTTTTTTGTGAGGAAGATCAGCCCTGAGCTAACATCCATGCCAATCCTCCTCTTTTTGCCGAGGAAGACTGGCCCTAAGCTAACATCCGTGCCAATCTTCCTCCACTTTATGTGGGACGCCGCCACAGCATGGCCTGCCAAGTGGTGCGTCGGTGCGTGCCCGGGATCCAAACCCAGGCCGCCAGCAGTGGAGCCCGCGCACTTAACTGCTGTGCCACGGGGCCGGCCCCTTTCTCACTGTTTTAAGCAGGGATATAAAGAACACTTTTTCCTTAGCTTTTGGTGGACTGAAGAGAGTGGTAAAGGGAAGTTTCCAGTGTCCTGGTAGGCGCTCGTTAGGACTCTTGGCATTCCTTTTCAGTTCGCTGATGGTTGGCAGCAGCATGAAGTGCCTTGTTTTATTACAGACTAGAGAAAGGGCTCTATTGTTACCTGCCCTTTTGAGACTGATGCTGGAGAAAAACCTGAGAACAAAAGTGCTTGGCTAAATCACTTTTTTTTCCTTTTTAGTTCTTGAAATCATGAATCCTGTTTATAGCCCTGGTTCCTCTGGGGTTCCCTATGCAAATGCCAAAGGAATTGGTTATCCAGGTAAGCAAGTAAAATTTTGTTTTCATTATTGAACTTTGAACACTTGTTAAATTTCCATGTCACTAAGAATGCTTTCAGTTGACAAACCCAGCTTAAAGTGGCTTAGACAAGGAAGAAAATGTATTGACTTATGGAACTGAAAAATCAAGAGCTAGGACTGGCATTGGTCAAAGCTTGATCTGGTGGCTCCAGCAGTAGGGACTAGGATCTAGTTTCTTTTTTTTAAAGATTTTTTGTTTATTTATTTATTTCCCCCCCAAAGCCCCAGTAGATAGTTGTATGTCATAGCTGCACATCCTTCTAGTTGCTGTATGTGGGATGCGGCTTCAGCATGGCCGGAGAAGTGGTGCGTCGGTGCGCGCCTGGGATCCGAAACTGGGCCGCCAGCAGCGGAGCACACGCACTCAGCCGCTAAGCCACGGGGCCGGCCCCATGGGATCTAGTTTCTGTACCTCCTGGGCTCAGCTTCACTTCCTCAGTATTGGCTCAGTGTTGGTGACAGGTCACACTTCTCCCTTTTGTGGTCTCTCTATGGTGGTCAGTCCCTCCCAGCAGTCCCTTGACTATGACTCTCTTTATCTCTGCGCTACAGGAAAGCCCCATGGGGCTGCTGCTTCTCTATTCAAACCAGTCCTGGGGTTTGTTCTGATTGGACTCACCTTCCATCACTGGGCCCAGGAGGGGATTCTACTGATTAATTTAGGTCTGAGCCACATTCCCCACCCTTACTGGAGTCAGCTAGTCAAACATGGGCCATGAGGGATGGGGCAAAGCAAAATTTGGGGAGATAGGAGCTGGTTGGTCAACAATAGCAAATGGGTGTCCTGGTTGGTGACTTTGAACAAAGAATGATTATTTGTAATGTTACAGTTTCATTGTAGGTTTTGATAATATGGTGGAACAGATAACCTAAAAACCCTATTGCTAAAAAAAAACCCTAGAAAATTGAATAAAACATTTTAAAAATATGTAACTGAACTTGTAAGAAAGTAAGAGAAATAGCTGCAGCTAAATATGAAAGTGACATAAAAACCAATGCATTTGGCTACTGAGCTGATGTTGTGGCTGTCGTGGGAGCATTTGCTGTTTGTGGGTTTTAACAGCCTGCAAAGTGAGGCCTTCACCCCTTGTGAGGCTGGGAGTTGGAGTGGGACCCCTTATCAATCTGGTTCCTCCAGGGAGTGATACTTCCAGTGAAGGGGTAAACTGAAACAATCCACCCACTGGATCCACAAGGAAATTTGTCTCTGCTTGGGCTCTGGGAAGGGGGAAATCTTTCAGGGACATCTGAGGCTCTACTCTTGTATTACTTGTACTTCCCAGGGGGTCCATGAATTGAGAAACAACGTAAAAAATAGCCTCCACTGCATTCCCCCCTGGAGTCCCTGACAGCAGCAAATGCAGAAATGCTGTGGAGGCATATGCTCTCAATCCAGGTTGCGTGGGTTTCCTGCAAAGTTCTGCCTGTTAACAATGCAAAATTATTATAAAACACGTGACATTATTCATCAAGTAAGTCACCAGTCGTGACAGACTGAGGGAATAGAAAGTCAAGTAGAAACCACATCACACAAATGTGTGGAATAATTGAAAATATAAAAGAATCAAAACATAAGAGAGGTTGGGGCCGGCCCCGTGGCTTAGCGGTTAAGTGCGCGCGCTCTGCTGCTGGCGGCCCGGGTTCGGATCCCGGGCGCGCACCGACGCACCGCTTCTCTGGCCATACTGAGGCCGTGCCCCACATACAGCAACTAGAAGGATGTGCAGCTATGACATACAACTATGTACTGGGGCTTTGGGGAAGAATAAATAAATAAAAGATAAAAATAAAAACATAAGAGGGGAACAAAAAGAACCAACTAGAACTTAAAGAAATGGGAAAAAATGACATTTGAAAAAAATTCAAGTTAAATTGTAGGTAAAACACTGCTAAAGAGAGAACCAGAATGCACAACAGGAAAGAAGGAAATAGGAGACTGGTTAACAAATAGAGGTGTTAAAATGAGAAGATTTGAGGAGAGTTAAGAGCTCCAAAAGGACTGACCAGAGAGAATAGAAGAAAAAGAGTTTTCCAAAATTGATAAAAGGTAATTTAGTGGTAAGACCTATTGTCTTTAAAATATTAACTTGGTTTAAACAGAATGCTCAATAGCTGAAGAGAATCCCGAGTGGATGTGGAGCCAGGGAAATAGGCAGAACCCAATGGAGTCAGCATTACCTGATGGTCCCTGTGATAAAACATGGATTGCCTGTCAGACGGCAGTTCTGTGCAAGGCTGTGAGGATACGGAGATACGTACGTGTTGTTCCTGCTCTTTGGTCAGCAGCAGGGGTTGACAGACTTGATGTGAAGGTTCAGGGTAGCATATATTGTAGGCTTTCTCGGTCGTGCTGTCTCTGTCATAACTACTCACCTCTGCATTTCCAGCACAGGCAGCCGTAGACAATACAAAATGTGTGTGTGTTTCAGTAAAACTAGAAACAGTGGACTGGATTTGTCCTGTGGGCTGTGGTATGCTGACCTAGGGTCAAGAGAGTTGAAGTAAAATGCTTTCTTTAGGGTTTTTGGTCTTAAAATACTTTTAAAAGAAAATTTCTGTAACTTTAAAGTGATTTTAAATTTGTATAGTTTTGTATAATTTCTCCTTATTTCATCTATTTCGTTTTTTTTTTTGTGTGTGTGAGGAAGAGCAGCCCTGAGCTAATATCCATTGCCAATCCTCCTCTTTTTGCTGAGGAAGACTGGCCCTGGGCTAACATCCGTGCCCATCTTCCTCTGCTTTATATGGGACGCTGCCACAGCATGGCTTGACAGGTGGTGCGTCCGTGTGTGCCTGGGATCCAAACCTGTGAACCCTGGGCTGCCGTAGTGGAGCACATGCACTTAACCACTTGTGCCACCGAGCTGGCGCCCTCGTCTATTTCTTTATACCTATCTTGCCTATTTTCTTGGTTTTGGTATTTTTAGTCTCTTTGACTTTCATAAAACTGTATCAGCAAAGGTTCAATGCAGAAACTAGTAACCATTCTAGGTATTTTGAACTGGGTGAGGGAGGGTGGGCGTAATACAGGGAATTAATGTGCCTACAGAATTTTGAGGCTGGCATAACTCTAATACCAAAAACTGGCAAGGCATTACAAGAAAAAGTGCTTTTATACTAGCAAATGGAGAGGCTGGTCTATAACCTTTTTTAAATTGACGTTTAATGGAGAAGAAGGAACACTTCCCAACAACTTCATCTTTTGATTGTAGTAATGTAATCACAATATAATTGGGTTTATATGTATCATCTTACTATTATTTTCTGATTGATAGCACCTGGTTTTTTGTTCACTTTTTCTTGTCTTCTTTTGGATTAAATATTTTTTATTCAGTTTTTCCTTCTGTTAACTTTTTAAAAATTCTTTTACTATTTAGTGATGACTCCAAAGATTATAACATTTTTATCTCCTTCCTCCTTTGTTGCCATACCTTAAGACATTACTGTTTTTATTTTGTGCAGTCAACATCATTTTTATTAACTCATACATTGATTATTTTCAGTGCTCTTCGTTGTTTTCTGTATTTACATGTTTCTGTCGGGGATTATTTTCCATTTACCGGGAGAACTCCCTTTAGTATTTTTTGTTTGTTTGTTTTGCTGCAGATCTGCTGGCAGTGAGTTTTGGTTTTGTTTGTGAAAATGTCGTTATTTTGCTTTCATTTTTGGAGCATATTTTTGCTGAGTATATTAGTTTCCTGTGGCTGCTGTAACAAATTACCACAAAAGTTGGTGGTTTAAAAACCACAGGAATTTATTCTCTCACAGTTGTGGAAGCCAGAAGTCCAAAATCAGGGTGTCAGCAGGGCCTTACCGTGTCTAGAGGCTCGAGGGGAGAAGCCTTTCTTTTTTTTTAAATATTTTTTTTTCTTTCTTTCTTTTTTTTTTTATTTATTTTTTCCCCCCAAAGCCCCAGTAGATAGTTTTATGTCATAGCTGCACATTCTTCTAGTTGCTGTATGTGGGACACAGCCTCAGCATGGCCTGAGAAGTGGTGCGTCTGTGGGCACCCGGGATCCGAGCCCGGGCCGCCAGCAGTGGAGTGTGCGCACTTAACCGCTAAGCCACGGGGCCGGCCCAGGGAAGAAGCCTTTCTTGCCTCTGGTAGTTCCTGACGGCTTTCAGCATTTCTTCACATGTGGCCTTGGGGCTACATCACTCCAATTTCTACTTCTGTGGTCACATCATCTCCTCCTCTTCTGTGTGTTTCTAATGTGGGCACTTGTCATTGGATTTAGGGCCCACTTGGGTAATCCATGATCTTATCTCAAGATCCTGAGTTTACATCTAGGAAGATCCTTTTTCTAGATAAGGTAACATTTACAGGTTCTAGGCATTCGATGTAGTATCTTTTGGGGGGCCATTTTTTTGCCTACTGCACTAAGTGTACAATTTTAGGTTGGCAGTTATTTTCTCTCAGTACTCTAAAGGTATAATTTTATTGTCTTCTGGTTTCTGTCAGAATTATTTTTGTTTCTTTGAAGTTAATATGTTCCCTCTCTACCCTTCTCCACTCCCTTGTTTTTTTGAAAATATTTTTGATTTTACTGTGATATGACCTGATGTAATTTTTTTTTTTTTTTTGTGAGGAAGATCAGCCTTGAGCTAACATCCGTGCCAATCCTCCTCTTTTTGCTGAGGAAGACCTGCTCTGAGCTAACATCTATTGCCAATCCTCCTCCTTTTTTTCCCCCAAAGCCCCAGTAGATAGTTGTATGTCACAGTTGCACATCCTTCTAGTTGCTGTATGTGGGACGCCGCCTCAGCATGGCCGGAGAAGCGATGCGTCGGTGTGCACCTGGGATCCGAACCCGGGCCGCCAGTAGCGGAGTGTGCGCACCCAACTGCTGAGCCAGGGGGCGGGCCCCTGATGTAATTTTCTTTGTGTTTATCTTACTTAGTGCTCACAGAGCTTCTTGACTCTGTGGATTGGTTTCTTCCAGCAATAGCAGTAGCTTGTCAAATATTTTTTTTTGCCTCTTTCTCTCTCCTCTCCTGGCACCCTATATTACAAGTATACAAGTATATTATTAGACCATTTCCCTCTGTTTCATGTCTCTTGCATCCTTTTTTGTATTTTTCATTTTTTTCTTCTATGAGCTTTAATATGGATATTTTGTACTGATCTACTTCCATTTCAGTAATCCTGCTAATTCTACTCTTAATTTGCTATAAAACCCATGTATTGAATTGAGTCTTTCCATCTACTCCATCTTCTATTTTCTCTGGCATACTCCTCACAGTTATTTTACAGACTTTGTTCGCTGGCTGCAGTTTCTGGATCACCTGTGGGTCTGTTTCTGTTGTCAGTTTGTCTTTTTCTCTTGTTTTTTAGCCATATGGTCCTGTCTCTTGGCATGCTTAGTGTTTTTTCATTGAATGTAATACACAGTGTGTGTATTAAAAATTGTAGGTGGTCCAGTGAATGTCTGCCTTTATAAGGCAGATGGCATGTTGATTGATTCTTTTTTTTTTTTTTTGTGAGGAAGATCAGCCCTGAGCTAACATCCATGCCAATCCTTCTCTTTTTTTTGCTGAGGAAGACTGGCCCTGGGCTAACATCTATTGCCGGTCCTCCTCCTTTTTCTCCCCAAAGCCCCAGTAGATAGTTGTGTGTCGTAGTTGCACATCCTTCTAGTTGCTGTATGTGGGACGCCGCCTTAGCATGGCCAGACAAGCGGTGTGTCAATGCGCGCCCAGGGTTCTGAACCCGGGCCGCCAGTAGTGGAGCACGTGCACTTAACCGCTATGCCATGGGGCCGGCCCCTGATTGATCTTTTTCTTCCTAGCTTTATTAAGGTATGATTGACAAATAAAAATTGTGTATATTTACATTGTGCAACGTGTTTTTTTAAGGTGTACGTAATGATTTACTATATGTATACATTGTGAAATGATTACCATAATTGAGTATCTCCAGATACCATCATGTTGGGAATTCGAGTTTCAACATACAGATTTTGGAGGCATCACAGACATTCAGTTCATATCATGCCCGCAGGCCAACTATGTCCATATATTTTAATTTCTCCTTTGTTACACAGAAGGTAGTGGACACTGAGATGGAATTAGGAATGCAGACGTTTTTGGGAAGGATAACACTTGTGAAAGGCCTAGTAGGGAGGAAGCAGACGGAATTGGGTAGGGAGAGCCTCAGGACTGTGATAAACGTTTGCTAAAGTCTCAGCCAACTCATTGGGGAGCTCTGGGGCGGGGGTTGGCAGTTAGAGGAGGCCCTCATTAGGCAGAAGTGGCCCTGGAAGGCGCTGTTGCTGGAGGCTGTCAGCCCGCATACTCCTCACGACTGAACAGCAGGTTCTTTTCTGGAATAGAGGTGCAGGTGGTGGTGGTCTCTTTGTGTTGTCAACTTAATGTATTCCAGGAATCATTCCATATCAGTTAACAGAGGTTTTTTTTTTTAACATAATACTGCTGCATACCCCTCCATCTTGTGGGGTTTCCATAGTTTATTCAACCAGTTCTTTGAATGGATATGTAGTATTTTGTTGTTCCAATAATACTGCAGCTTACATTGATTGTATTTGTGGAAATTGTTTCTAGGGTGGATTCCTTGAGGTGGGATTGCTGTGTGAGAGTAACTGCGTATGTAGTTTTTCAGATACTGCTGGTTTCCCTTCCATAGGATTTTTACTGTTTTATACTCTTACTGCAAGTGTGTGAGACTGTTGTTTCCCCACAGCCTTGCCAACAGAGTGTGTTGTCAGCTTTTGGGTTTTTGCTAGTCTGATGGTAGAGGTGGTCTCAGTGTAGTTGTAGTTGGCAGTTCTATCTGTCCATGTCTTTTATTGATTTTTTTCTGTTGGGTTTTTGTTTTTTGGTTTAAGAGTTGTATTAAGTATGTTAGCCCTTTGTCTAAATAATTTGCAAGTATTTTCTCTTAGTTTGTCTTTTTTTACTTAGCTTATGGTATTTTTTGCTGTTTCAAGTTTTTGTTTTCATGAAGTGATCAGTCTCATAAAAGTGATTAAGATTTGGGATCACTTCTAATCTCTTGCAAGACGAGTGTCTGGGCAGTGTAATTTCTAGCTTTCTAGCCTCTCCATGCCAAAAGGAGCTAGAGAGGTTGAAAGAGACAACCGTAGTGCTCACTGTGAAGGGCATTTTTGGGAAGACAATGTTGTGGTCGGGAAGATTGACAGGAGTAGGAAGAACAGTTTTTCTCAACCTTGTTGATTGGAACTCTCAGATTAGAATTTTCTGGAGAGATTAAGAAACAAAATATGCTGGTGCTAGAACCGAGACCAGTTAGAGCAGAGAGTTTGTTGGAGTCCTGGGAGGGAGTCCTTTCAAGGGTTTCCCTGTGGGGGGGTGTTGTATAGCCAAGGTGGAGGTCACTGGGCTAGAGTTAATGAGGTCAGCCATACTGAGGCTCTAGGTCAGGATGGTGACAGTGGGAGTGGGATTTGGCTGATGGGATGAGGGGATGAGAGCAGAGAGGGAGCAGAGGATGTCCTGTTCCTGGTGGTTAATTATGCTATTTGAAATACTTGTTCTGCATGGTTTCTGTTCATTTTAGAGCATATTAGCTCATTCTTACAAGGTTAGGATAGGAAGAGCCAAGTAAACGTAATAGTGTTCCAGGAACCCTTAGACGTAAGACACATGCAGAAGCAGACAGTGCCCCCTGTGAATTTGCTGGCAGAGTTTGTGGGGAGAGATGAGGAAATTTGGATTGTGAGAAAATTGTTGCAGAGGCCTCCAGGATATGATCTAGGTTAGTGGTGTTTCAAACTTTTTTTTTTTTTTAAACAATGAAACCTTTAAAAAAATTTCTAAATGGTTCCCTGGTATCTGAGATAAATCACGGGAGCTCCTGAGGGTGAGTTTTGCTGGCTCCAGAGCCTAGTTGGCCTTCCTCTGCTCACAGTTTAGGCCTCCAAGGAATCACTCAAGGTCTGTAGATCGAAAATGACTGTTCTGGTCTTTTTTTTCTTTCTTTCTTTCTTTCCTTTTTTTGTGAGGAAGATCAGCCCTGAGCTAACATTCATGCCAGTCCTCCTCTTTTTGCTGAGGAAGACTGGCCCTGGGCTAACATCTGTGCCCATCTTCCTCCACTTTACATGGGACACCGCCACAGCATGGCCGGAGAAGCGGTGCGTCGGTGCACACCCGGGATCCAAACCTGGGCCGCCAGCAGCGGAGTGCACGCACTTAACCACTACGCCATGGGCCGGCCCCCTGTTCTGGTCTTTAAAATGGACATTTCAGGTCTGTTTCAAGTTGAATCTGTCCTTGATGTCCAAAATGAGTGAACCTGATAGACATTTGACCCCCACACACTGTTGTCTGACTAATTAGGGCAAATGGGAAAATGATAATCCAGGAAATAAACCCAAAATAGTTTCTGCTGGGATAAAGGAGGATCAATTTTGAGAAAGAGGAAAGCAGCTCTGACGCAGAGGATTTATATATGAGGTGAGAACTGGGCACTTCCAAGTAGGGATTCCTGGGGACCACTGGGACTGAAGACTTCTGTTCCTGCCCCGCAAGGAGGCCCACAGGCCTGCAGGACAGCTTGAGAAGGAGACGCAGTAGAGCCAGGGCATCCAAGCTGTGGTGGAGACTGCAAGGGGTTTGTATAAGGCACTTTATTCAGAGCCTTTAGAAATAAAATCCAGACCCATTTTACCTGTGGAATTCTCCTCAGAACTCTCCCCAAGTGTTCACCTTAGCCTCCTACCCTTCTGTTTCCTCATGGTGGTTACTGTTACCACCACGATGCTTTAAATACTCCTAAGAGCCACTTTTCTCTGAGTCCCCTTAACACAGTGTCTTTCAAAGACTGGTGTTCTATTTCAACTTTATTTACAGGTGAGGGAAAAGAGGAATGGGGAAGTTACAGCTTCTCACAACTGGTTTGTGACAGTAGTAAAGACTAGTGAACCTGGGTCACCTTCATTGGCTCTGTGCCCTGAATGTAAAGAAGGCTTTCTAATGCCCCAGCTGTCACATGGATGGTGTGTTCTGAACTGTGAACCAGAGGGGTCAGGCAGAAGGCCTGGGCATGGGCCTCATGGGGTCCCTAGGCTATGAGGAGGCCTGGAGCAGGTGACTATGGCCTCTCTGCTGGTGGAGGCCTGGTGGCTGGGATTTTGATTGTAACACTTAATGCTTTATTTGATGTTTCTGTTGTGTTCACATGAATTATTAGTGGTTGTGGTTTAGTTTTATTGAGGTTTCCTCACTTGTATTAATAAAGATCAAGTTGCTTGCAAGTGGATTGTGAGATTGGATTTTTCCCAGTTCCGTGTGTCAGAGCCTCTTCAGCACGTGATGCTATTAGCACTTTTATTACTCTCGCTAAGTTGTAAATTATATGTGCTTAGAATCTAGCATAAAATTGCCACTAGTGTTGAAGTTTTCTGACTTCAGCTTTGGGTCGGGTTTTTTTGGCATTGTAACTCAGTTTCTGCCAGATTCTTTCAGTTGTATAAAGTTGTAAGCGTTTACTCATAGGTTTAAAAGACATGATTATGATTGTGAGCCATCACAGTTCTGAGGAAAGGAGACAGCTAGAGAAAGCTGCTCAGCATCTGTAGTGCTGTTGGACTCCTTAAGCCAGTCTGTCTGTGGGGTTCTGATGAAGAAGGTAAGAACAACGTCTGTGGAAACCCTGGTTGTAAAGTCATGTTACTCCTTCCCGTGATGACATGAGATTGTTCTGTGTTTTTCTCCAGCTGGTTTCCCCATGGGCTATGCAGCAGCAGCTCCTGCCTACTCCCCCAACATGTACCCCGGAGCGAATCCTACCTTCCAAACAGGTATGCAGGCCATATGTGCTGCGTGGCAAAAATGCTTTGTCAGTGCAGCCAGGGAGAAGTTTTTTAAACAGTTCTCTTGAGGTATAAATGACATATACTGCACATATTTAGTGTACAGTTTGATAACTTTTGATATAATGTATACCACCCTTACAATTGAGAGTGAACATAATCCCTCATCTGCAAAAAGTTTTCTCCTTCTCCTTTGTAATCTCACCTAGCCTCCAGGAAATCACTGATGTGTTTTCTCTCACTCACAATTCGTTTGTATTTTCTAGGGTTTTGTATAAATGAATCATATAGAATGTACTTTTTTTTTAGACTGGCTCCTTTCATTCAGCATAATTATTTTGACATCCGTGTTGTAGTGTGTATCAGTACTTATTGGGTAGTATTCCATGAACATTTGGATTGTTTGCAGTATTGGGCTGTTACAAATGAAACTGCTGTGAATATTTGTGCACAAGTCTTTGTGTAGACATACACTTTCATTTCTCTTGAGTAAAAACAAAGGAGTGGAGTGGCTGGTTCTTAAGGTAGGTGGATGTGTAATTTTGTAAGAGTCTGCCATACTGTCTTCCAAAGCGGTTGTACCATTTTATGTTCCCATCAGCAAGGGATGAGAGTTCCAGTTCCTTTACATCTTGCCAACACTCAGTGTAGTCATTTATTTTTTTATTTTTTTTCTCTTTTTTTTTTTTACTTTTTAAAATTTATTTATTTTTTTATTTGGCTTTATTCTCTTTTTTTTGTTTTTTTTTCTTAGTCATTTGTTTTAATTTTAGTCCTCCCAGTGGGTGTGTAGTAATAGAACATTGTAGTTTTAATTTGAACTTACCTGATGAGTCATAGCGTAGAGCATCTTTTCATGTGCTTGTTTGTCATTTGTATGTCTTTGGTAAAGTGTGTATATATCTTTTACTGTATGTCAGTTTTTGAGTTTGTTTTCTTGTTGTTGAGTTTTGAGAGTTCTTTATCAGATACATGATTTGTAAATATTTTGTCCTGGTCTGTGGCTTTTTTCATTCTCTTAACAGTGTCTTTTTTTTGGTGTGGTAGACTAGCCCTGAGCTAACATCCAATGCCAATCCTCCTCTTTTTTGCTGAGGACGATTGCCCTGGGCTAACATCCGTGCCCATCTTCCTCCACTTTATATATGGGACACTGCCACAGCATGGCTTGACAAGTAGTGCGTCGGTGCATGCCAGGATCTGAACCTGTGAACCCCGGGCCGTGGAAGCAGAGCGTGCACACTTAACCGCTCGCCACCTGGCCAGCCCCAAGACAGTGTCTTTAAAAGAGCAGGAGTTTTTAAATTTAATGAAGGTCAAATTATCATTTTGTTCTTTTATGGATCATGCTTTTGATATCTCAGAAATCTTGGCCTAACCCAACTTCACAAAGATTTTCTCCTATTTTCTTTTGGAAGTTTTATAAAGATTTTATTTATTTATTTATTTCCCCCCCAAAGCCCCAGTAGATAGTTGTATGTCACAGCTGCACATCCTTCTAGTTGCTGTATGTGGGACACGGCCTCAGCATGGCCGGAGACGCGAGATCCGAACCCGGGTTGCCAGCAGCGGAGCGCGCGCACTTAACCGCTAAGCCACGGGGCCGGCCCTGAAAGTTTTATAGTTTTAGGTTTTACATTTAGGTCTGTGACCCATTTTGGGTTAAGTTTTGTATATGGTGGTAGAAGTAGATTGAAGTTTATTTTTTGCATAAGTATTAGTTGTTTATTACTATGTGTGATCATGCTGCAGACCACCAGAAAATGTCACCGTTGTGGAATTTTCCAGGGTAGATCATTTGTACTCATTTTCTTCATGGAGTACAAGTTACTGTAAAAATATACTAAAAACTTGGAACTCTTTTTTATTCTTTACAAAAAGAGCCTCAGGTTTGTTTGAGGCTGGCAAAGCTGTCCTCCCTGCCTAGAGCGTGCAGTGCTCCCCTGAGAGGAAGCTTGGTGTTTGGAGGTCTGGTGCTGCTGTCTGATGGCTTCCTCCTTTGGGGTGCCTCTGGGCCAACCTGTGGAACAAGTATCATCCATCTTCTCTCATGTGTCTCCTTTCTCTTAGGAAGATGAGTCCTTTCTTGTCACTTTTCCAAGACTGCTCTCAAGGTGTTCCTCTAGCCCAGAAGCTGGGGTAGGCAGGTGGGGGTAGTGGGATTGGTGGGCATGGTGGCTGCCAAGAGGGCCTGCCTTGTTTAAAGGGGCGTCCGCTGAGAGGTGCCAGATAGTTGTCGGCTGCAGACTGCTGACCCAGCAGTGCCCAATCTTCCGATTTTTAGGAAAGCTGGGAATAAGGATGTATGTGAAATTTGTGAATGAAAAAATAAGCTGAGAATAAAGATGTATGAAATTTGTGAATGAAAAAATAAAGGGTACTCTGAAGGTTCTGCCAGTGTCCCTCGAGTGCTTTCAGCCACCTGAGCTGGGTCTGGGCCACGGCTATGCTCCCATCTTTGTCTGGGATCCTCTCACTGTTTTCAGATCTTGAACTTTTTAATTTCCCTTTTCAGTGGGCCTTTCTTCCTATATGATGAGCAAGCCCAAGTTGTCACTATAAAAAAAACTAAACAAAAAGAGAAGTTTTTCTCCATTTCCGCTGCTGTCTCATTCTGCCTTCTGGTTCTCTTAGCACCAGATTTGTGGACAAAGCTGGTGTGTGGTATTGGTGGTGTGTATGTTGAGTTTGGCTTTTAAAGCACTTCTGCAATCCTAACACTGCTTATTTCTTAGCTCTTCTGAGTGTGACAAAGATAGCGTTTAGAGAACCTCATGATGAGATGTCATGTCTCTTGCTGAAAGATTCCATTTCTCAGTATCTGGAAGTGGAGGTGTCATTCATTTCGTCCTCATGAACAAGCACAGTCGGCTGGGTACACGTGTCCCCAGAGGGAGCTATCCTTTTTTGGAATCAGGAAAATATATTGGAAAGAGTTTGGGCTGTGGAGTTAGCCGGCTGTGGCTCAAATCCTGGCTGTGTCACTCCCAGGAAAGCTATTTCATTTCTTTTTTGCCATTTATGTAATGAATCAATATATCCCCTCAGCTGTTCTTTGAGGGCTCCAGTAGCAAGCACGCGATCAGGCTCCCGTGGCACTGAGGCCGAACAGTCAGGCTTCTGTTCTACTCCCACTTATAGTCACAAGTATCTGTAGCTAATATTTGCAGTGAACAACTGAAATCATCAAGGAAACATTCAGTTCTTTTTTTTTTTGTGAGGAAGATCAGCCCTGAGCTAACATCCATGCTAATCCTCCTCTTTTTGCTGAGGAAGACCGGCTCTGAGCTAACATCTACTGCCAGTCCTCCTCGTTTTTTTTTTTTTTTTTCCTCCCCGCAAAGTCCCAGTAGATAGTTGTATGTCATAGTTGCACATCCTTCTAGTTCCTTATGTGGGACATGGCCTCAGCATGGCTGGAGAAGCGGTGTGTCGGTGGGCGTCCGGATCCGAACCCAGGCCGCCAGTAGCAGAATGTGCTCACTTAACTGCTAAGCCATGGGGCTGGCCCCAACATTCAGTTCTTTGTAGTAAGCTCTATTTAAGAGGTGATTTAGATATTGAATTAGCACGTATTTTAAAAAGATGAAAATGTTGCTAAGAGCAATGAAATAGCTTTCCTGGTTGCTTCCATGCATGGCTGCTGGATGAAGGGTAAATTCGGGAAACTTTTTTGGAGGACAGTTTGGCAGTATATTAGAAAGAAGCTTAAAAATGAGTCCTTCTGACCCACTTCTAGGAATGTATCCTTTTTTTTTTTTTTTTTTTTTTTTGTGAGGAAGATCAGCCCTGTGCTAACATCTGCCAATCCTCCTCTTTTTTTGCTGAGGAAGACTGGCCCTGGGCTAACCTCCGTGCCCATCTTCCTCCACTTTTTATATGGGATGTCACCACAACATGGCTTGACAAGCAGTGCGTCGGTGCACGCCCAGGATCCGAACTGGCGAACCCCGGGCTGCCGCGGCAGAGCGCGCGCACCCAACTGTTTGCACCACCGGGCCGGCCCCTTGGAATGTATCCTAAAAGAATAATCAGCTATGCAAAAATTTATATACAAGTGCGGATATATCTAATAACAAAGTAATGGTTTAATTAAACTGTTGGTTTATTTCACAGTGCTTAACTGGTCTTACTGCTGGTTCATGAAGGATATTTAATAAATGAAAATGCTTTATGGTACAGCTTTTTTTCTTTTTAAACTCAGAATTTTGTCCATGAAGTAAGACCCCAGGTTTGCTTAAAATTAAACCTCACTTATGGCAGCCACACAGGAGAGAAAACCATGAGAATGTTAACAGGTTGTGGGGTCATGGGATTTATTTCTCTCTTGTCTAAATTAAAGGTTTACATGCACATAATGTAAAGATTCCCTCACTCTCCTTCCCATCCCTTTTGTTGTGACTGTGTGAGCATCATTTGGCTGTTTTCTTCTGCTGCTGTTTTTTCCTCCCTGGACCTGATATTCTTGATTAGATTTCTGTAACCATATTGTTAATTAAACTCCCAACTTTCCCCCAGAGGTGGGCATCTCTTCTCAGCATTTTATGCCATGTGATGTGTTTCATGTTTTATTTCTTGGTGACCTCATTTTGAAGCCCCCTCTCCTCTTCTAGTCTGACTGCTTGTCTCTGGGCCTCACCCTGGGTCGCTCTTTTCCGTCATCCCAGGGAGTCTTTGCCTTTCCCTTCTGTTTGATTTCTTGTCTTCTCTCTTAGTTTGCTCTTTGATTTTAGTGGAGACTCTTCTTCAGTAATCTCCCAAGATGGTATGAGAGAGTCACAATTTTGAAATTTTTCATGTCTGAAAACATTTTATTGTGCACTCAAACTCATCAGTAGTTTGTCTGGATATGTAATTCTAGTCTAGCAGTTATTTCCCCCCAGAATTTTGAGGAATTGCTTAATTGTTTGCCAGCTTCCATTGTTGCTGCTGAGAATTTCGATTCCTTGCTGATGCTTGGTTGACTGTAGCCTAGGTTTCTTGTTGGT